AGTTCTACGCAGATTCGGAATAAGAACCTCTTTGCTCTCTGTTTTCGTTTATTCTCATTTAAATTCTAAGTATTTTCGTCATCTTATTTTCGTTGTGCGGTTCTCGCAGATAGCCGGTTCCTCTGGAAACTTAGGGTTTTCCCGAAGTTTCCTTTTTTACGATTTATTTGACAGTAGGGTGAAATCGACTCCCACAATGCCTTTGGTGATCAAAACAATATTAAGGAAATCTTTCATTCCTTCTTCCCAGGTTTCAAGGTGTAAACCATTCAACCTTATGTCCTTGAAACTCAATATATTCCGTTTAGAACTTGGGGAATATAAGGCATTTTTAATCTCAAGCTGAGTGCCTCTAGGCAATAAGATATAGGCCTGGCCGTGGCCCTCAAGAAGATTGGCCACGCCTGCAATAGTGTGTATATTGGCACTTTGCATTGTAAGGTTCACAAAATACCGTTTGTCTTTAAGTATAGTATGGCTGGAACCACTATCAACCACAAGTGTACTCATCACCTCATTCATCATACTATACATCAAAATTCATAAACTCAGAATTATATATAAATAAAAATCTCATATCATAAATAAAACACCAAAATCCATAACAATCATTCAAGCAATCATTCTTTTAAATAAAACATCAATAAAATAAATATTAAAAACTAAATGTCAATCTGATTAGTCCTTTAGACAATCAGCAGTCTCATAATCCATATTATTTCTCTCAAGCTCATCATCATCAGCCTCATAGCCGGAATCTTGAACCATGTGGGCCTCCGGGTTCTGGTTCTTCATCTTCTCTTGATAGAGCTCAATTAGATGCTTAGGAGTTCTGCATTGCTTCTGGAAATGTCCAGTGCTACCACATCTGTAACATACAGATTTGGTCGAGTGAGGAGGCTTGCTCGTGCCACCTTGGCCACGGCCAGTTCCTTGGCCTCTCCCAAGGCCGTAGCTGGAACCACGACCACGGTTATTGTGGTTTCCAGACCTACGGTTGTACGGGTGGTGGTCTCGACCACTACGCCCCTTGAACCCACCACGGCCTCGACCGTGTGGTCTCCTATCACCATGGGCGTAGTTGGACTCCTTAGTCGGATCTTGCTCGACCTCATGAGCTTCCGGTACGGGTGCTGAACCTGCTGGTCTAAGGGTATTGTTTCTCATCAACAATTGGCTATTGGCCTCGGCCAAGAGCAAGACCGCAATCAGATCATCATATGTGGGGAACTCTCTAGTTCGGTACTGTTGTTGCAACACTTCATTAGAGGAGTGCATAGTGGAGTAGGTCTTATCAAGCATGTTCTCCTCGGTCACAACATCACCACAAAGCCTCAACAAAGACACAATTCGGAACAAGGCCGAATTGTACTCATCCACGGTTTTAAAATCCATGAATCTCAGGTTCTTCCATTCATCTCGAACCTTTGGGAGTAACACCGTTTTCTGGTGATCATAACGTCGCTGTAAAGCGTCCCAAAGTTCAAGTGGATTTACCATAGTGAGGTACTGATTCTTAAGCCCTTCCACAAGGTGGTGGCGTATGATCTGAATTGCCTTGTACCGGTTCTTAATAGGCTCATTATTTCCTTTCTCAATGGTATCACCAAGTCCCTTAGAGTTCATATTGATCTTAGTATCAAGAGCCCACAGCAGGTAGTTATCCAGAGAGATTAAGAGCTGAGTAGTCAAGGTTTGCAATCTTAGACATCTGAATCACATAAACCACACACATAGGGTTTTATAAATACTTGTGATTTCTTGACTACTTTACAACCACAAACCAAACCATATTTGTAACTACAATGACCATTGTGAAGACAAACAAAACACACCATTATGGTCACTCAAAACTCATATGGTTCAGTATTGGTCGGAATGGGTGAGATGACATCAAAACTTATATGCTGGTCGGTTTTTATTAAAACAATATGAATGCAACCAAATTCAACAATATGATGCAATTCATAAAATCATTCATTCACACAATTAAACTAAATCAAACATACTAATTCTCCCCCTGATTTTATTAATTGTGACAATTAGGGTTTCAAGGCCCTTAGGTCAAATTTAAAATCAAACAAATTAGGGTTTTCAAGGCCCCAATAACAATAAAAACAGGCGGCTAAGATAAAAACAATCATACAATCAACTTTTAAAATTTTAAAACTTAAAATCAGAGTTAAAACTTTCATAAAAATCATTCAAAGCGGTTTTAACAATTCTTAAAACTAGTTTTAAAACTCTTGCAATCTTAAAAATCAGTTTTCTTAAAAAAAAACTTTCATGCAATCAATCTTAAAGCAAATTAGGGTTTACGGTTTCAAGGCCTTATGATCTTAAAAAGGTTTCAAGGCCTTTAGATTTTAGATTCTTATAATTAAACAAGCAATCTAACAATCCTAAACCTAAAACAAACAATTTAAACAAGCAAGAACTATTTAAAAATCCGATTTTAGGGTTTAGGGTTACAATTCCATAACTTAGGGTTTTTAAATTCTCAGATATGATCACAGAAACAATCAAGCAAAATTAATTTGGAATTGATTTCAAGATGAGGGTTATAGAGGGTTAGAGAAAGAATCAAATTCTAATTCATTCAAATATTAAGGTTTATCAAAAACAATCTTAAAATCTATGGTGATTGTTTCTATGTTCTTAGATTAATGTGTATACCTTTCTTTTGCAGATTTAAAGTAACCGGACCACCAAGAATAGGAGAGAAGACCGCGAACGGATCAGCTACACACCACCGGGTCGTCTAGGGTTCTTGGACGAGAAAAGGAAATTCTCGTGCGGCTGGAACGGCTCGGTTCTGCTATCGGCTAGGGCTTCCACCGGAAAAGGAAACTCGACCGAAGGGAGAAAAGGAAAACGGGTGAGGCGGCTGGTCGGGAAAAAAAGGAAACGGGTGGGAACTCGCCGGGTAAAAAGGAAACTCGGCTAGGGTTCTTGGGCGAGTAAAAAGGAAATCGGGTGGAGGCTCGCCGGGAAAAGGAAACGCGGGTGAGGGGTTCGCCGGGGTAAAAAGGAAAAATCGGGTGCGGCTGGCCGGATGAGAGAGAGAGCTCGATTAGGGTTTATCAGATTTCTTTGCTTGAATTACCAGAGTAATTCGTGTTGATAACGTGTTGTAAAGAATGGTGAAATCTGTGTCTTATTATTGCTCATGAGGTTCCATATATATATGGGTTACAAGAATAAGATAAATGGAAAACATCCAATTCCTAAAACAACAAGGAATTGGAAATACATAAGAATGGAAATAGTGCTGGCCGCCTAGACTAATGGGTCACACGACCATTGGGCCAGTCCTAATCTATCTAATGGTTATGGCCCATCCACTTAACACTTTATAACATTTTCCCTATTATTTGGCAAATCATTCAACAAAAAATAACTCATTGGCTGTTAAGTACTTTTTCTGTTTCAAAAAGATACACATTCTAGCAAAAATATTTATTTTTAAAAGATACAATTTTTACATTTTCAACGTACTAATTAATGATAAATTATAAATTTCAAAAAATTTAATTGTGTTAGTTGATATTTTATTGGTTAAAAATTATGAAAAATTGTTATCTACAAAAAATGATTCATTGGTAATCAAAATTTCATGTGTTTGTTAAATATGTGAAAAAAGGTTAAAAATATAACTTTTTGAAATAGAGAGAGTAAGTTTTATTTAACCAGAAGTATATAACATTCTTAAGATAATCACACCTACAAGTTTCAACGCGCACATACATCATACATTGGCATCAGCGTCGTCATCAATGTGTATATATATATATGATTACCTCTGCCTCGTCCATGGATAAAGCTTTCTCTCAGGCTTGTAATAAACCCCATCTTCTCGAACTGAGTAATCACATACGTAGCTAGGGTAACAATAAGCAGATGTGTCCGGATTAATATTAACCGGGAAATTCACAAATCCGAATTTGGACCGGAGATGACAATGCGTGGAAGCTTGCCTCCGCTTACCATCGTACTTAAATTGGACCACAGCGTACCGGTCTCCTGGTTTGCTTTTCCTCCATACCTCATTACCGTTTGTGCATACAAAACCTGCGTTTCCATTATTCTTCAGACCAAACAGATCATTGGAGATGACGATTCGTACAACCGTATTTGGCGGTACCGTGAACTCTGATCTGTAGTATTGTTTGTGGTACGCTTCTAAGGAGTTTACATTTACTGATAAGTTTGAGATTTGTACAAGTAGGATGAGAAAGTTCGTAATTAGGGTTTTGGGATTCATCCTCATTATGGATTGTGAGTTATTGCGTCTTAAGACTCTTAACTCTTACTTGTGTTTTCTTATCTCAAATCTTGTATCTTATGGGTTTTATAACGACATATATTTTTTTGAAACGTTTTTTTTTTCTCTTTCTTTTAATACGCTTTGGTTAGTTTGTTGATGCAATATATAGAGGAAAAACAACTGAAACGGGGGTGCTCATTGGCTGATATAAGTATAATATCTTCATTTGTTTGTTTGTTTGCAAACTGCTTCCCTATTTGGTAATATATAAGGCAGTCGACTAAATATAGAGATCTAGTTAGCGTCCTAATAGGTTCCGTTTTGTAACTTTTTCTTAATATGAAGGTATGTTGGGGTCAAAATTGATATGGAACGTTAAAACCATTCGATAAATGTGTCGTATACGAAAATGAGTTGAAAAATAATTATGCTTATGCCATGCCGTGTCAATTTGGACGAAATACTCAAAACATTTCAAGAAAAAGATGCATGGATTTTTGCGTTTAAGGACTTTATTGAGCATAACTTAAAGATACCTTAATGAGCTTTATTGATATGCAAAGAACAAGAAACACTACAATAAAACGATTTTTTTAATTACAAAAGTTAATGAGGTAAATGAGTCCTCGTAAAATTATGCGTTTTGTATGAGGAAATTATGAATTCTCGTAGTTACCATCAGAAGGAACAGATGGTAGATTATGATAGGGTTCATGATATTGTAGGTGATGCATTGGTAGCTCATAATGATGAAGCTGAAGAACCTAACATAGATGCAAAAAAGTTTTATGAAATGTTAGATGCTGCAAATCAACCAATTTACAGTGGTTGTAGAGAAGGTATCTCTAAATTATCGTTGGCTGCTACAATGATGAATATTAAAACCGATCACAACCTACCTAAAAATTGCATGAATGCATAGGGAGACTTGTTTAAAGAGTATTTTCCGGAAGACAATGTGTCTGCTGATTCTTATTATGAGATTCTGAAATTGGTTTATAGTCTTGTGTTTATTGGAGAGATGATGAGAAGTTAGAAGAATGTCGATTCTGCAAGAAGCCACGATTCAAACCACAAGAACGAGGACGTAATAGGGTACCGTGCCAAAGGATGTGGTATCTACCAATTACAGACAGGTTGAAAAGATTGTACAAATCTAAGGAGACTGCCGGAGGGATAAGATGGCATGCCGAGCATCTGACGAAGGGTGAGATGACTCATCCATCAGAATCGAGAGCTTGGAAACATTTTAATAAAGTACATCCAGATTTCGATAGCAATAGCCGGAAGTGTATCTTGGATTATGCACAGATGGATTTAGTCCACTTGGAATGTCAGGGAGACAATATTCATTGTGGCCAGTCTTTTTTACGCCATACAACCTGCCACCAGAGATGTAAATGCGATCGGAGTTTCTATTCATGACCATATTAATACCTGGTCCGAAGCATCCAAAAAGGCCTCTCGGTTTCTTTCTACTACCACTGATAAAAGAATTTAAAGATTTGTAGTCAACAGAGGTGAGGACTTATGATTGTTCAACGAAAACAAATTTTACGATGCGAGCGATGCTTTTGTGGATCATAAGTGACTTTCCTGCATATGGGATGTCTGGATGGACTACACATGGGAGATTATCTTGTCCATATTGTAACGGAATGACAAATGCGTTTCAGTTGAAGAATGGTAGGAAGACAAGTTGGTTCGATTGTCAGCGTTGATTTCTTCCATTCACCATCCGTAGAGAAGAAACAAGACATGTTCAGGTACAAAAGGGTTGTGAGAGACACTCCTCCTCCATATTTAACTGGAGAACAAATTGAAGCTTAAATCGATTACTACGGTGTTCTAGAAACCGTTCCTCATGGTGGTAATTGGCATGTTCCCAATCATATGCCTGTTTTTACGGAGTTCAGCACAACTGGCACAAGAAGAGTACATTTTAGGAATTTTCTTATTGGAATGATCTGCTTTTGCATCACAACATCGATGTGATGCATATAGAGAAGAATTTTTGAGAACATCATGAACACAGTATTGAATGTCACAGGGAAGATGAAAGACATCATAAAATTGAGGTTGGACTTACTTGATATTTGCTCAAGAAGTGAGTTACATATATAAAGCAATGGATAAGTTCTAGTTCCGATATTCAGATTTTCATCATAACAAAAGTCGGTGTTGTTCAACTGAGTGGCATCAGAAGTGAAGTTTTCTGATGGGTATGTTTCAAATCTTTCTAGATGTGTTGAGAAAGGTCAAAAGTTCTTCGGGTTGAAGAGTCATGATTGTCATGTCTTTATGCAACAACTACTTCTTTTTGCATTTGTGGAGCTACTACCAACAAAAGTACATGAAGGACTTGCATGTAATATATATATATTAAACATATGCTATAATTTATTTATTTATATGCACACAAAAATAACATGACTACTAATGTGTTTATATTTTTGGAATAAACAAGGAATTAGAGAATTTTTCAGAGATCTGAGCACACGCATTCTTAAAGAGGATGTCGTTCAACAACTTCTTGAGAACATTCCCATCTTGCTGTGCAACTTGGAGAAATTATTTCCGCCAGCATTTTTTGACATCATGGAGCATCTAGTTGTCCACCTCCCGTATGAGGCATTGCTTCGAGGACCTGTACATTACGGATGGATGTATCAGAATGAGCGGACCATGAAAAATTTGAAAGGAAAAACTAAAAACCTCGCAAGAGTTGAAGATTCTATAGTTCCCGGAAGTTCGACGGAAGAAACATCACACTTCACATTATACAACTTTGCACCAAAAGTACGCACCCGGAAACGAACTCCATGAAGATATGATGATGGTGGTGTTGTGCCGACATATTTGGAAAAAGATGTTTCATATATCTTTTGTCATATTGGGCAATTTGGTGGGAAATTGAAAGAGGTTTGGTGGTTGGTGATGAAGACCTCCATAGTGCACACATTTATATTCTTCTTAACTGCGAGCATGCATTGATTCGCTATTTTGAAAGGTACATATAATTACACACACACACACACACATATATATATATATATATATATATATATATATATTTTTTGGAATTGATTAATTAACAGAAAATTTTACAGCTAATTTGTTACTCAAGTCGAGGAAGGAATCTCGGGTATATCCACAAGTGAGTTAGACAGAAGGAAAGATCAACACTTTATTAAGTGGCTGAGGAAATATGTAATATAACGTTCTGTTTATTTTTCAACATTCGCTATTAGTATGATTAATTTCAAAGTTCTCTTTCTTTTTGCAGGTTGAGAATGACGATCCATATTACCTTGCATGGTATCATGAATTAGTTCAAGGTCCAGTTGCAAAGGTCACTGCATCACCGATATATTTCACATGAGGCTATAATTTTCATACATATGAGTATGGTAGAGACCGGGTGACAAGTAATTATGAAATATGTGTTAAAGGCGAAACATATTTCTATGGGATCTTACAGGAGATTATTTAAGTTGAATTCCCAAGGTTATTGAAGCTGAAATGCGTCCTCTTCAAGTGTGACTGGTTTGACCCCGTCGTCAATAGAGGTGTTTGGGTTAAAAAAAAATCGGTGTAGTTGATGTGAGTGGTGGACGAAGATACAACAAATTCGAGCCTTACATATTAACTTTGCAAGCAGACCAAGTTTGCTTCGTTCCATATCCTCGGATGACAACCTCGGGGATAAATTGGTTATCTGTTATCAAAGTTACACTGTGTGGACACATAATCGCTGGAGAAGATAAACCTTTACAAGTAAAACACATCAATGGAGTTGAGGAAGTGATCAACAAGTTGATGACATCATTCTCATCGATCCTTATAATCGTGAATACAAAGATTTTCCCGACGATATCACAGACGAAGCTGTTGAAGACAAGTTTAATGAAGATGATAATGTTTCTAGTGATGACAAATGATATCACTCAAATTACCCTAGGAGTGAGTTACTCTCATCAAAAGAGGTTCACTTGTAGTACTTAGGGATCGAATCCACAGAGACTCTAGGATTACACAACAGATTATTTAGTTTTCAAAGTAAAGCTAGATAGCAAGTTTTAAACAATAACTTAAAAGGTAACCAAGAAATTTGCTTGATTGATTTGTTTGTTAAGAGAAAAGAAGGTAGTTAAACTTAGGTATTTTCTCAGGTATGACAAGCATGCAAGATATAAAGGGTTTTTATTATTCATAGTTCTAGTTTCAAACTCTTAAGGAATTAAGGTGTTAACTCTTACTGGATCTCGGGTCAAAAACTATCGTTCGATGACCTTGAGCGAATATCGATCGATAGTTCGATCGATCGTTGTTATACAATATCGGTCGATAGGACGGTTATCTCGTCGATCGATATTGCACCAGCGAGTTCTAAAGTTTGGTTTGAAAGGGGTCTCTAATCTTCAATAAAAAACTTAGACTCCAGGTAATTGCTAAGTTCTCACTTATCCAAATTATTCCTAAAATAAGAGGTAAGGGTGATCAATCCTTAACATTAGTATTCATGATGACGAGATTTAGAACTATATCTTAAACACCCTAATATTGGTTACTTCAATGCATGAGTTAACCCTAGTGAGAAACCTAAATCTAACAAGAGAGACTACTCAAACATATTTATGAAAGACAAAGTCATAATGGTTTGAATAATGCTTTAAGATAATAATAATGACAAAAACAATAAGTAATGCAAGGGAGTTCAAGATCTTCTCTGGATTGTAGTTCAGATCTCTCTCTCTCTTCCTAAGCTCTTCTTCAAAAGTATGGCAAGATGCTTCACTAAAATTGGGTCTAAAAGGTCTCTTCAGAAGTCTGCTTAATCTAGTACAAAACCCTCTTAAAATAGCCTCACAGGCGGCCAGAGACTTAGGGTGTAAATAATTAAAACTCTTGTGAAAGAATTAGGGCTTCTAATCTTCATTTAATTGCTTTGGAGGACTTCTGTATCGATCGATATAGAATGTCTTCCATCGATCGATTTGGAT